GGTTGATGACAATAAGAAGCACAATGAGATATTAAGGAGGACATGTGAAAAAAATACTTGAAAACCTAGACAATTCACAGGAATCTTACCCAGAAAAATTAGGTGCGAAGAACATAGAACAAGTGAAGTACAGCTCTTCCCTTACCATTGTATTAACAGGGGTGTGGCAGTTAGATTTTGTGTCAACTTGCACTTGCATAGGGGTGGAGTCAAACCTTTCAATCAGGTCAGAGCCTAAGGATGCCTCCTGGGAGGTATGAACTTTTCATAGGAGAAACACTGGGGACGTCTATCTGATACTGCATTTGCAAGCTTGCTGGGACTGTGTGTCTGCCTCCAGGGGTGTGGTAGTTACATAATCTAGTGTCAATTTGGGACTTGAGAGGATTAGGGGTATAGGAGTGGAGTCTAGCCTGTCAATCAGAATATATCCAATGAGGCCTCTGTGTGGGCATGACCTTTTCCTCAGGATTATGGGAACGACTATATTTCCTCTTTAGAGGTGGGAGACACAGTCTCTTTCTGATCACTCCCTGAGAGATACTCTACTGATAAGACAGATGGCACTACAATGATAGCGCCCATACCCTGGGAGATGGAGGAGCCACATGAAGACCCCTGCCAGCACTGAGATGCTTAAAATGCCACTGGATCCATAAGACTTCTCACTCGCTGGCCTGTGATCTTCCTGCATTTGGCATCATTGCATGTGTTTTGTGAGTCTGAAGAGGATTTTATTAATTGGTATTGGACATATGGGCTAATATCAGACTTATGGACTTGATCTGGACTGGACCGGGACGTTTTCTTAATATTCAATTGTTCTTGCATATAAAACTCTTCCTTATACACACATTAATCTCCCTGCATTTGTTAGTCTCTACCCAGACTAACAAAAGGGGTGATCTCACGTGAGTCATAATTCTTGGACTAATCTTTGAGCTGTCTGGGCTTTACTATTTTTCCACTGATCTTGGATTCACACAACTTGACACTGGTGGCCTATGATCTCCCTGCTTCCTGGTTCACATTTTGATGTCATTGGCCTGCGGCTGCATGAGCCAGAAAAGGACATATGGACTTGAGTTGGATTGGGCTGGAATGTCTTCTTCATGAAAGTTATTTCTTAATATAGAGTTCTTCATTTACATAAATGAGTGTCACTGAATTGTTTCTCTAGACAACCTAGCCTGACACAAGATGTTCCTTAGCAAATGATATATAATATATTACAGTTAAATCACAACATGTTTTCCTTTCATACATTCACTCCAAGATTTTTCCAGGTAAGTTCAGGAACCCTGAGCCACCAAACAGACAGGGAACCAGGCTTGCGGGATTCTATCACCACCAATATATGGCTTTCCATTTCAACATTAGGATATCCATGAGTCAACAAAAAGATAAAGAATTCAGAAGTTTTATGTAAAAGGTGTTTGTTGTTACATTGCTTATTTATTCCTATTTTTGCCTGTTTGCTTGTTTGTATGTTTTCCGTTTCATCTGACGTGCACTTTTGATCTACAAGCAATATTTATTGTTGTGGTTAGATGCTACTGAGTTGGTTCCAATTCATAAGGAATCTGCGCGCAGCAGAAGAAAACACTGCCTGGCCCTGCACCATCCTCACCGTGATTTGTATGTTTAATCCCTGTGTGTTTCACAAAGTGTTAATGGTACATAGCTTATCTGCTTACAATATTCATTAGAACTCATCAACATGTCCACATTTAGCTTTTAAAAGAACATCTTTTAAAAGAGAAACTAAAAGAGATATAACATTTAAAAGAGAATCTAGGATCATCCAAACTAATATGTCAGGAAAAGAGAACTGGAAAATAGCTCACATTTACTGTCACATTGATCTATTTATTAGTCTGTTACCATCTTGATAAGCTTAAGATACATTATAAATAAAATTATAGCACGAATTTTGCCTTCCAGGAAATAAACGCTCTGCTGCTAACGGAAAGGTGATTTATTCAAACCAAATAGTCATTCTGTGGGAAAATGCTATGATGCTGCTTTCACAAGGACTACAATTTTGGAAACTTTCCAAGGTAGTTGTATTCTGTCCTAGGAGTTCTGTGTGAGGGGAATGAGTAAGACAGATCCTACATGAAAAATCCCTGGAATGGCTCTCAGTGTTCGTAACTTGCAACTGATTTATTCTTTTATGGTTCCACTTGCCCTCTACTTCTCAAATATACTCCAAACACTCAATCAGCTTTCATAAATAGCACTAGTTGAAGCACATACTAATTCAACTGTGGAAACGCATTGTTTTCCTCACTATTGTCAGGATCATGAGCACAATACCAGGGCATGTGAGAAAACCAGAACAATCTAGAACTGATTTACTTTAGGAAATACTCACAAGGCTTTGCTTCCTGCCATTGAGTTCATTCCGATTGCATTGTCCCTATAGGACAGAATTGCCTTTTGGGGTTTCCAAGACTATAAATCTTTACAGGAGTAGAAAGCCATATCTTTCTCCCACAGTCTCTAACATACTGGCTGGTAGCTTTGAACTGTTAACTTTTGGATGAGAATTCCAACTCATAACCCACTATACCACCAGGGCTCCATTGATCTTACAATTAACTCATTGAGTAATATCTTTCATTTAAGCAAAGTATCTTCTTTTCTCATGTATCTTGAGCTTTTTCTTTTTCCTGATACCTGTTTTGTGAACTGTTT